ATGTCTAACACAACCCCAGGGAAGCTTAACGTGCGCCCGTTCACTCATCAGATGTTATTATTATATTCATCAATTCTGAATTGATTAATGAATATATTTTTCCCCTATTTTCATTATTAATTCTAGTAACTGAAGCTGCAGTCCTAATTATACTGCAAGAGTATATTAAATTAGGAGTACATTCCACTCTACCCGCTTATTGTTACGTATTTTCGTATGTGTCACGATTTTATTTTCCCGTATCAATGTCTTGAAGAGAACTATTCGTGTATCCGTTTGTATGTGTTTATTTACGTACAAACATATACATGCACGCACACTCGCATATATATTATGCTTATATATATATATATATATATATATATATATATATATATATATGTGTGTATGTATGTATGTATGAACAAAATAGAAAAGTAGCGTAGCTATTTCATAACTATCGTGCTATGCATATATATCTATACACATATGTGCATGTATTTATATATGAATATATTATTTCCTAAAACGCGCTAAAATATACATTGTTTATGGAAGTGCAGACATTTTACACGTACAGTAATGCAGTAAAATACATACAGTGCTAACGTTCATGCATGAACATATACATCTGATATGTAAGTTTACATTTATGTATATATAATTGTGCATACAGATATGTTTATATAAGCATCCATATAAATATTTGCTTTTGTATACGTATGCACATATACTCATACATACTAAGTCGTATCAACAAAGTCAAAGGAACTTTTATACACACATACATGCATACGCACATCACAAAGCACATGCGCATTATGGGTGCATGCAGCACTTTAGAAAGAGGGCATCTGTGATGGAAAATGAATTGCGAATCCAGGATGTTTAGAGAGAAAGGATTTATGACGCTTCTTCCAGTCGCCTCACATAACGGAATAGTTTAAATGTACAGGGTGGTATGATGTGATACGCACTTATATAGATATGAGACCTCTTCCCAGCCTAGTATTCAAACCCACTCGCTCTACACAAAACTGTTTCAGTTTATCATCTATTTGGATGTTCGCAAAATTCCGCCTTCTAGGTACGCCAATGAGTCATATCCTCAGTGATTGTATTCATGGTATAGACATATTCCATTTTCGATATTATTAGCATAACTATCTTTAGTTTCATCATTATCATTTCATCATTATAACTATTAATATGTAGAGACCCCTACTAGTGAAAGTGGGAGGAATTGCAGCGATTAGACTCAAAGCTCTGGTTGGACAAATCCTCCGAGTGTTGACAAACAACATACGGTTATGTGATCCTTATAGTCCCACCGTTAGGCTTTCTCTGCCTTTCTTGTCGATTATTCTGCTCAGTTGCCTTCATTTTGTAATTTTTAGTTTCCCGGTATAATATAACAGTGAAGTTGAATTAAAGCAAATCCATCCATTAATAAAAAGTATTTATTCTACGAAATCAAAGCGTTGTCGTATCGCTTGCCAAACTTCCTGCTTTTGATCACACGTAATCCTCCTTTCTAAATTTCGTGTTCGTTGCCTCATTTCAAAACATGTCTAGATCAGTGTATGTGTTTATACATACATACATATGTATATATAAATATATCACATGTATGTATACGTTCAATATGTGTACATGTCTTTGTATTCATTATATATATGGGTGTGCGTGCATGTGTCGGTTTTCTTATATATGTATGTAGGTGTGCATGCATATGTAAGTATATGCAAGTTTAATATATCTGAGTATGTGTATGCATATTTGTATATATGTGTGTGCGCTGGCACATACATTCATATACATTTATTAAACGAACACAACTGTTTTTCATGATTTATTTACAAATATACATTGTAGATTGTCTCCTTAATAAATATTATCACAGCCGAACTCGATTTTCGATCTAAGCATATGAAGGGGCGGGCTTGTAAGCAGGCTGTTCGGCAGGGTACTGGGCCTCGCCCTCGTAGCTGACCTCGGCCACGAAGCCAGAGTCGCCGTTGACGGTGTAGGTGACCTTCTGCAGACGACCGTCGGGAAGCTGAACGTAGTACGATCCCTGGGTGTCATAGCCGTCACGAGCCTCCTGGTGGCCGAAGTCGTTTCCAGAATATTCGTCCTTGACGGCGTAGTTGAAGTCGTACTTGGCAGGTGCAGGAGCAGGTGTAGGGGCGGCATAGCCATAGGCTGGGGGCTGATCAGGGCGGGCGATGGCCACGGCCACAAGGGCGGCAATGATGATGAACTGGAACAGATTTCAAAATTACATTTGATATATATATATATATATATATATATATAGATATATAACTGCTGTTATTGGGATATGAAACCTTGTTTCCATTCTGTTTCTGATGAGTTGCAAGTCACCCTGACTTACCTTGGGAGACATGTTGAGGATGAGCTGCTAACTGATGGAGATCGGAGACGCGTTCACTTTATATACTCTAAGCCCCACCCTACGCAATGACGTCACGGCCTTCAGAGGTTGTCTAACAGCCTC